TAACTAGAATTAAAATGGAACCAGACTGAATAAAACATGTAATGTGATGAGGTCATGCGACAACGTGACAGTATATTATTCAAATCAGAGTGAGCAAAATGCAGCAAATAGTATGCTAATATTTCATTCTGAAAATAGGGTCTGAGACATAGGCATTCACTACCTTGTCGTATCTGCTGCTAGAGCCGAAGCCAAAGATGAGCAGGTGACCGTGAGAGTCTGTGCAAGCGAAATGCTGCCCATCTGGAGAGCACTTACAGTCAAAGACCGCACCGTGGCCCTGACCCTCGATCTATACACAAACACACACATAGAGAAAGGATGTTTGTGAGACACAATAAACCAAAAGATTTGCATAGATTTGTGATGCAATCTGAAATGGAGCGTTACCATGTTAAAGTAAGAGCGTATTTTGACTCCTCTTGCCAGATCCCAGACGATTGCGTTTCCATCGTGTCCAGCAGAGAAAAGCACTCTAGAATCAAATGGATGTGGCTCCAACACAAACACCTCATCCTCGTGGCCCTATGGGTGAAGGGCCATAAAGACAACATTATTCATTACATATTGCCTTCTTTCAGTCATCCTGAAGAGATCTTTACACTCTTACCATCAATACATGAATAAGGTTCCCTGTGTAAGAGTTCCACACTTTCAATGTCAAGTTGTTCGCAGCGGTAATGACTGTGTTGTCATTGCAATCCCAGGCCACCATAGTCACCTTCAGTTTGGTAACTTTGTCCTCTAAAGGTGGAGGGTTGTACTTGCTAAAAAGACAGAAAATAAGAAAATTACTTTTTTTTCAAAATAGTGTTGACTTTTCTAACTTTGCTTTACAGTTGGTCTACTTTTAAAGAGCAAGAGCAATGAGAGACAAACCAGCACACAGAAAGACACATAAACATGCATTCAAATTATATTATCAGAATAACAATGAGCGGAATTTTGAATTAAAATTTAACATGAATTACTAGAATGTCTAAAAAAAGAAAAACAATTACTGTAAGATTCTATGTCATAAGGTTTATTTGTTTAAAAAATTCTGCTTATTTCTAGCTATAAATTACATTTTGAATTCCAGACGTTCACATTTCAGTGCGACTCCCCCACTATAATTTGACTAGATAACTGAATGTTTATGTTTCTACAGACTGATGGGACCTTTATCAATAAATGAGAAAAGAGCACCTCAAGACTAATTTATCAAAAAAATAAATAAAAATCAAACCCAGATGGGATTTGTTTGCTCATAGTTTTACATTGTTTTATTAAGTTAAGATGATCGGTTTTCCAAATAGGAATATGAATCCATTGTTGGAGTTGCATGGCGATTCTGTTGGTGGCTTTACAGTGTCGCATCTCAGTCGCTCCTGTGTGGTCAGAATCAATTGCCCTCACGAGACTTCAAAGTAATTATGTTGCTAACGATCAATTGTTTAGCAAACAAAATGTAACATTAATGCACAATTAATTGAGCCATACTTTTGAACAGTGATTAATGTTTATCATACCCAAGTAGTTTAGTGGCCATGTCCAGGAGAATGCTTCGCCAGTCCTGCTGCTGCAGCTGCCATACCCGCGCTGTGCCATCTCTACTGCCACTCACAAACCTACACACGCATAGGTTTATGCTCAAAAAAGTAATCTATACGAATATTCATGAAAAGGCTTCAGGAAAAGGAATTAATGAAGCACACTGATAAAAATGTAATCCACTAAAATTGAAAACTTCATTGCTGCTCTAAAATGTTTAGTAAAATGTGGTACAACAATGATAAATTCCACTTCTACCATTTTGAATTTACTTACAGAAAGAAGCAAAATTACTTGAACCTCTGTAAACTCATAAAATTGAGTACAAATAACAGGTAAATTAAGTTAACTGGATAAGGAAGAGTTTTTGTTTTAAAGTGTACTAAACGTGGCTTTTGTATTGTTGACTATGTATTACACTAAAAGGCATGCGATGTGCTCATACAGAACACAATATTTTATCAGCTTCTGTGAGATAAAAAGCAATCACTCAATGTTTTCTTTTGCACTAAAACCACTCATAATTTAGTTATGACAATCTCTCTCTCTCTGACCCTTAAAATGATATGGTCAGTTTTTGATACTGTACCTTTAAGACCTCCACCGGCGTAGTATTAATGTGTTTACATTTGCATAAATTGTGTATGCGTATGTGCACCGCTCTATAAAACAGTGATGTTTACTGATGTATGCTGTATGTGAACAGCAAAAAAAAAAAATCTCAAACAGTAATGGATTGTTTTCCAATAACAATATATAAACATCTTTAAAACAATGGGAAATAAAATTATATCATTTCGTTTTCAGAGAATACATACTGAATGATATTACCGTTTGCAATTTTTTAAAAGTTTTTAACCATATTATCCTCACAAAATTTTAAGACATATTTTCTTAAGTCTTAACATCTTACACAAATGTCCTTCTCAAGTAAATCTATCTGGGGATGTTTAGATATTTGTACTGAAAAAAAAGTCAAAAACACTAATTAAGAATATCATTTTGTTTCTCACACGTTTTTTTCCATTTGCTATCTCATATGATATATAAGATCACAACTGTATCATATGTCATATGGTAAGCAGTTACACAATCTGGCAGATACCACTGATCAGTGTCTCTAAACTCCAAAAAGACTCTATGTCCCATTTCTGAACACACCAGGTTTTACTACAAGCTCAGTGTTGTAACGACAGCATTTTGTCACATGGGTTCCTGTGACAGGCTGTGAAGGATTAAGTATTACTGATAAAACAAGAGCAGGTAGAGGTGAGAAAACAGCTTTGACACTTCTGGCCTACCGGCACTAAAAGAGGAACAGATCATCTGCACGCCTGGTCTGGGCCGCTCGATGAATTTGCTGGGTCGCTGCCTGCACACACATATAAAACACACAGAAACGTTATGAGTGCCAAAATATAGTCTCTTAGTGGCCTTTTTATGACCATTATTAAAGGTGAAAGGTGTAATATCTGCACTAAAATGGAACTGCAAAAATAATACATGAAAAATGAAAACACTGAAACATATATTTTAGTTTGGTTCAAAAGAAAACTGCATGCTATAATTACATGTTTCTCCTTTGCATTAATCAAAAACAGCTTTAAATACTTGCTCTGAATGGCAAAGAAAACTGAAAACCCCACAGATGTGTGCAAGAATAAAGGAAACTCACCCGAATTTGAGCGTGCATGCGTCCCACTGCCAGAAACAGATGGTGCCGTCAGCTCCAGTGGAGGACAGGAACCTCCTATTGCCACTGCACAGAGGAGAAAACTACACACACACACACACACGCAAACAGCCAAAACAGGATTACGACACATTAAACATTGTCTCTGTGAGTGGGTGTGCGATTGTGTGTGCATATACTATACAAAACGTGTCACAGTTTCCACAAATATATTAAGCAGCACAACAGCTTTATTCAGCATATTAGAATGATTTCTGAAAGATGATATGACACTGAAGACTGGAGTAATGACTGCTTGAAATTCACCTTGCCATCACATAAATAAACATTACATTTTGAAAATAAACAATATATATTAATATATATTAAAATAAACTGTAATAATATTTTAAACTGTAATAATATTTCACAATATTACTGTTTTTACTGATTAAATAAATGCTGTCTTGGTGAGCATAAGAGACTTCTTTAAAAACATTAAAATATCTTACAGACCCAAAATTTTGAACAGTAGTGTATATTGGTGTAGATCACAAATATATTTATAGTAGTGTATATCTGGCTACTTCAGCAAGTCCGCATTAAATATATCAAAAATGACAGTAAAAACATTTATAATGCTACAAATAATGTTTCAAATAAATGTAGCTTTTCAAAATTCCTGTTCATCAAAGAATTATGAAAAAATCAGCACAACATTGTTAATAATAATAAGTAGGGCTGCCACTAACGACTATTTTTATTTAGATTAATCTATATTTATTTAGGAAAAAAATTATAATTATTATTTTTTTAATAAATCAATTAATTGGAGATGTTTTTGATTATTAAAATTTAATGGAATCATTCAAATGGAATCCAGAAAATAATGGAAAACAGAATTTGGTAAAGATAAAACTGTAAAACTCAATTAATTAGACAGGCTTTTTGATTAATATAATTTAATTTAACCATTAAAACAGAGTAAGAGTATAGAAAAATGAAAATGGAAAAAAACCTGAATTTGGAAATAAAACGGCTTTCATAGGGCCCTATAATTATAATATTTTTTTTTGTGGTAATAAAAATAGATGTAAGTGAACAATAGCCTTTAAAATTACTTAAAATACATATATAATAGCACAGCCGCGTCCGCACAGCTTTCAAAGTATACTCAACCACGGATGAGTGCGGATGGACGAGCTTGACACAGGCGCAGTTTGACTTGTGTTCTGTCTCAACTTTCCCCTCGCGCATGCGCTGTTGTACGCGGACCATCCGCGCAGTCTCAAAAAATTGCCTGCACGCGGATGGGGTGCGCGGCTGTCCGCGAGCCCTCCTGATGACGAAAATGACGTAATGTGGACGCGGACGGTCGAAGTATACTTTGGCCTTAAGCCTGCAGCACTAGCCGGTGTGTTCGACTAGAAGAGGTGCGGCGCAGATCGATCAGTGTTTGACATCTGCGAGAACGGATCGAAAGCGCACGGAGCAGTCTGCTCTCTTTAGCTCTCGTGGTACTGTAATACACTGATCGGTCTGCACAGTCAGTCCGCGTCAAGTTGAACACACCTGCTAGTTTACACCGGTTACACCCAGAGATGTGGAACACACGTGAGGCTGTAGTGCGAATGCGTCCCAGCCCCCTTAGATGTAAGGCTACATTTACACTGGTGCGTTTATGTTTTAAAATGAAAACGATCCTCGTCATACTGGCGTTTCCACTGCTTTTCAAGCCGGCTTTCCACTATCTCCAAGCGACAGACCGGTCATTCAGTCATTCGTTTCCAATGGAGAGTAGCGCGGGAGCTGCGTGGAGTTCCGATCATATGCAGATGTCCGTTCATACTAACGTTACACGACCGAAAGCGCGTGTTATATGACCATTCATGCAAACTGTAGCATCATGCTACATAAGATAATAAATAAGATTTATATTCCGCTTTTACTCAAAACTCACTTTAAACCAACATCGAATGTTTGTAATAACTTCTGATTGCCGTCTAATGTGTGTTTTGGCCATGTAATGTTGCTGAAATTAAATATGTTATTACCTCAGACTCAGAGCAGCGATCATGGAAGAGAGAACACAGGCAGTCAGCGCTGGAAGCTGCTAATGCTCATCAGTAAATCAGTGGAAAATAAATAGAAATCATGATTCTGTCTGAACTATGCGTTTTAAAACGAACGCGCACTAGTGTAAATGTAGCCTAACAGATGTGTAAACTGAAGACTATTTGAGCTTTATTAAAACTATTTGCACTGATTTATTGTGTTGGTTAAATTTTGTTCCTTTGTGCAGTGGCTCAGGAGAAGAGTCTTTGAGATTGTATAAACACCAACAAGCTGAAAAATAAAACCTTTTTTTTCTATTTTTTAGATAATGTTCTAATGTTCTTGTTAAAATTGATTTCATAAAATTGGTATCGAAGTCAAGGTATCGGTATCGATATCGAAAAATTGTCGCGTTTGTGAATCCACAATTATGCTTAATTATGATTTTTAAATGGGTTTAATATATCATGCAGCCTTGGGAAACAGTCTAATAATGTGTTTTATGGATTCTCGTCCGTGAAATGCGCCACTTCCGGTATTTTGCCGGTTAGTCGACGCAAGCAAAATGAAGTCGAGGATTTTATAAAAATCGAATAGTCGAATAAAATCGACGAATCGCGACAGCCCTAATAATAATAATAAGAAGTTTCTTGATTTCACCAAATCAGTATAATAGAAGGACTGTGTGAAGACTGGAGTAATGACTGCAGAAAATTCAGGTTTGCCATCATAGGAATAAATGGCATTACATTAAAATATTTTCAAATAGAAAACTAATTTGTATTATTATTTCATGTCACTGTTTTACTGTATTTTTGATCAAAAAAATAAATATAGCCTTGGTAAAAAATTCTTTCTGACCCCAAACTTGTATATCATCCCTTTGTTTTCTGCATAAACATTATAAATGTCTTCCAACACAAATGTTCCTATTTGATACTAATACTACATTTAGCGAGTCCAATGTGAATTTACTGCAAGGTGAATCAAAAATGCTTTTAACCTAAAAACGCAGCACTGTGGCATTGCATTTCCATGACAACAGGTAGAGGACCATAAAAAAGCAAACGCTACCTACAACAACTTGAACCCCATCTATCATTCACAGCTTTATTGAAAGATGCATTTTTACCCCTAAGATAATCAGCTTGCCATTTTCCTCCTCATTTCATAAGCATGATTTTAACAACATAAAAAATATCACTGTTCTTTCCAGACACTGGAATTAACTGTGATAATAACATTGATTTTAGCAGGCCACACATGCATATCAAATTGAGCAAAGAAAAATTATCCCCAAGCCACACACAGAGATGAACATTCCCGAAGATCTGTTAAACACAGACGAAATGCCAATGACACACTGGCTAATGGCTTAGGAATATGAAAGAGATGATTTTATTTGTGGCTCGCAGCCAATTCCATAAAATAAACACTTTTTTTCAACATGTGTGCACAGACACACCCCCCTACGCCGGGAGAAAAAGACCTATAGAAATAAAAAAGAGGAGCAGAGCGAAGGAGAAAACACAGAGAGACCAAGATTGAAAGAGGAAAAGACAAAGAGAACAGGAGTAGGAGAGAGAGATAGAGGAAAAAGGGAGGGAGAGGCAGAAAGAGGGGGAGTAATCCTTGCTGTTCAGCCATTTCTGAAGCATTAAAAACTTGCAGAGTAAAATGGAACCCAAGAGTGCACACTCAAAAACACACAAGCACGATCCTACAGGACGCTTAAAACCAGAGCTCTGACAAACGTTAACTACAGCTCATGCCAAAGGCTGACAGTCAGATAATGTCCGAGAAATGCCTGAATCAAAACACATGCACTTACCCACACACACACACAATCTTTGAGAAGTTTGTGGACATGATGATGTCACCGAGCAACAGTATGCTTACCCAGATGGAACATGAGAACGACCTTTGACCTCTACACTTATCCCAGAGTCAAAACATTATCTGTCCCTGTGAGATCAGAAGGCTCATTGTCTAAAAATACCCTTTTAGTCACTAAGAAATTAAGACAGCGTTTCCAGTGTAGCACAACATTGGATGAAAGAAAAGAACTACTCAGTGAAAATCCAACAAAGGCCCATAGAGTCTGATTTACTAAGGACACGCACTGCGGTTCAAATGTTAGGGGTCAGTAAGATTTTTTTTATTTTTGAAAGAAGTCTCTTATGCTCACCAAGTCTGCATTTATTTGGTCACGCACAGTATTTAAAATGCATGCACAGTATTTTAAAAATGGAAATACTGTGAAATACTATTAGAATTTAAAATAACTTTTCTTTTTTAATATTCAAATTTAAAGTGTAATGTATTCTTGTGATGGCAAAGCTTAATTTTTAGCAGCTATTACTCCAGTCCTCAGAAATCATTCTAATATGCAGATTTTTTGCTCAAGAAACATTTATTATTATCAATGCTTAAAAAAAAAGAATTTATAACAGTCCAATATTTATAAGAACAATATTTTTGTGGAAACATTATACATTTTTTTCAGCATTCTTTAATGAACAGAAAGTTCAAAAAAAAAATTATAACATCATGTCTGTCCTGTCACTTTTGATCAGTTCCTGCTGAACAAAAGTTTTAAAAGAAAATATTAAAAATCTTACTGACTCCAAACTTTTGAATGGTAGTGTACAGAGTCTTTAAAATGTCCACAGTCCACAATAAAAGACTGTTTGTTTTTTACTCAAAATAGGTTTCAAGATTTTGAAAAATGTAAAACATTATGATGTAAAATGGACCTTCAATATTTAAAATTCTTCACTATTCCTAGGTCACTAATCAAATACGTGCATTTCTGACACTGATCATGTGTACTACTGAGACTTTCAGATGTTCTTGTTTCCACTGAAGCACAATACGCTCTTGGGATCATCATCAAATCATGCAAGAGAACATGATCATCAGGTTTTACACAAACTTGTGGAGTTTGCAGCTCGAGTGCTGCTGTCACTGAAGTAAAAAGAGGACAAACAGAATACTAAGAGACTCATACTGTTGTTATGCTGATAATATAAGCTGTAATTAACAACTTTTTTCAACTAGAAAAACACAAAATATAATCCTTTTTACTCATGGTCCCAAACTTTTGAGTCAAAATGCATGCAAACCACTTCCTGTACATGATGAATGACACATCAAAACATGCCAGAAATTGATACTGTGATACTTCAAAATATGATAAGAGCAATCCGCATTTAAAAGTATTTATTTATGCTTTTATCCAAATAATTTTGCCATGTAAAATAAAGACAAGTTAAGTCAATGGCTGTGTTAATGGTACTCCATGATAAACTATGAAACCGCCCTTCTGAACCACAGTAACTATACAGTGTGAACATATAACTCTCTTACGGGCAAGTCCCTGGTTAACTCATAAAACCACAGCTGCTTTCAGAACCCTTGAAATCCCAAACCCAGTCAGACATCTGGACCAAACAGAGACCAGGTCCCTCCATTCAATAGGTAATTTAAGACTATTATGTTCATTGGAGATTTTCAGTGTTTTAGCTCTTGACCTCAAGTGTTTTATTATTATGACACATTAACAGCACCCTAAAATTGTGACATCCCTTTAAATTCCATAATGGATAGACATTCAGTTGTATGTATACAGTTTAATGAGGCATTCAGACTAATTAAAGCCACACTGGCTTCAATACAAAGCAATTTAAATCTGATACATTGTGCTTTGTGTACATTGTGCTTGTTCAGTACACTACATTTATGTGAAACACTATTCTAGAATTTATCTAAATATTAAATTTAGAGGAAATTCGATATTAAATATGTTAAAAAGCAAAAACATCATAGGTCATGGTAAATGATGGAGTGTAAATGGAAATTTATAATGTGGAATATATGGATTTGCACACCATACACTGTAAACAAGGTTTCCACAGATTTTGACCAATACATTTCTATTTCTGTCCTAGTCATTTGGGATCACTGGATAAGTAATTACATTTTATAGAGATTATATATATCAAATATTTGTCCTTACAATAATTATCCTTAGCTAATAAATAAAAAATGAGCTTGGCATAGCTAGAAAAAAATATATTAATTCAATCAAATCTAGGCCTGGAAATCAAAATCGTGAAGTTCCCTGATTTTTTGCATGTCCTTGAGATGCCGGTATAAATAAGAACAACACTTCATATTCCAAAGTGTTTTTAAACAAACTCAAAAGCTTGCAATCATTCTCTGAATGTTTTATTACTTAAAAAAATAGTTTTCAACGTTTCTGAAATCTCTTTTGAAAGACCAACTCTTCAATCCATTCAATTAACTCTTGCAATAAAACGCAACAATAAATTACTATGTACAAAACATTTTCTCCCTGGTGTCAAGCGATTCAAATATGTTCCCAGATAATTATGCAAGCACATACATACAAACACAAAAGCACTCTGACAGCACAAGAACATGACGAACTAATTAAAATACCATAACCTGATGTAATACTGCACTCAAAAAGGAAGCAAAGGGAGGGCTCACAATTCAAATACTAATAAATAACTTTTCAGAAACATACTGTTTTAAAAACCTGTACAATTCAGTTCATACACAATACTTTAGATTTTGTCCATATCCTCAATTTCAGAAAAAAAGGAAAGCACATTCAATCTTTTTTTCCAGAAAGAAAAAAAGTCTAGTCTGTCATAAAACCAGATGTCTTACTGTGAAGATGCGGCGACCGGTGCGGTCGAAGGTGACACAGTACACAGATGACAGGTGTCCCAGAATTCTCTTGTGCATCTTCATATGTTGGTAAACAGCTGTAGGGGAAATGTGCCTGTATAATCTGACCTATACACAATCACAAACATGTATTAGGGCAAATTGATGCATTTAATATATTAATATTATAAATATATTTGTACATTTGTAAATCACTTAATTAATACAATATTCAATATGTTCAATTATTGTGTTGTAATAATGCATGCATGCATATAAAAAAAAAGATAATTAATGCAGATTGCATAGCTCATTAACATATTGAACGAGGGAAACGAGACCTGACAAAAAAATTAATTGACAGCGCCAACATCAGGCGGTGAAGTCTCGTGCGTGTTATTCCTACCCACAGTCTGCAGGCACTGGCTTTAACATCTTCACACACGGCAGTGAAATCATCCACGAACGGTCACATTCGCGCACACACACACACACACACACACACAAACGCAAACACACACTTTAACATACCGCGATCTAGTGGCGTAGCGGCGCGCGAGATCAGCCGCGAGACAATCGCGAATACAGAATAACAAGATTATCGCTACAATGTGTGTGAATTTCACCGCGTGCCGAAGAGACGGCGGAGATACAGCAGTAACAGCATGTGTGATTAACAGACAGTCGAGTCTATTAGTTACGCAACTGATATATATTGGGGGCTGGCCATAACAGGGGCTGGATCAAAACACACTAAGTTTTAAAATCAAGATATTTCGGTATCTCTCACTTCGAAAGCGAAATCAAACTGTCTTCCCGAGAGTGATATTCCTCCGTGGAATAGCGAGCTACTGAAAAATGCAAATAAGCCGATTAATCACTTATTTGGCTTTCTAAATATCGTAATTAATAAATGAATGAATACGTACTCATTTCGATCTACCTCTCATTTGTGTTATCTGCCTCAAGCCTCTCAGCACTGTTCAAAAATAATTTCCTCCGAAGAAAAAATATTGTCAGGGCCACTTAAAAAAATCCCAATACTCTGCTAAGATCCTCTACGTCTCCGGCTTTGTTGCCTCCTGCTCCAAAAGCTTAGCTTAAGTGCGATAAACTAAGGTAAAAGGAGTATTTTACCCTGACTATGGTTGTATTACATGGAGCAGAGCGCCTCCATCCCGCCCCGCTTTCAGTCTCTGCGCACTGGTCCCTCCTCCCTCCGCTCCCTTCCCCTTATAGCACCACATTCATGACGTCTCTTTATTTCTACATCAATTTGAACATCTATTTACACCTTGTGGACAGCACTGTGACCAAACTCACATCCCTGAGGTCAGGCCAGGCTCTGGGTTCACCCGTTGACGGTCCTTTCTAACCCTGAGGTCGGTGTTTCCCTGTGTGTTCGGGTTGAGGTTTTTCCCCGATTTAAAAATTGCGGGAAATTCAATTTCTTATTTTGCTCTCTAAAAAGTTCTCTCTCGGTTATAGGGATCCCTTACCAAATTTTCGTAACTCCCTGGGTGTTCTTTGCCAGTCCAGTCAATCCTTTTGGGTAACAGCTGTAATGGGAAAACAGTGTTAAATAGGTTTAGGTCAATTCTAGGAGATCGCTTTTGTGTTTTTAAACCATAAATATGAAATCTGCGTGAAATTAACAGCCTAAAGTGCAGCGCAGTGAGATGCGACGCGAGTAGGGCTCGCGCTGCTTACCTCCTTCTCCTGAACCTCCCGTATCAAGGTCTGAAAAAAGCACAAAAATAGCAAATTACGGTTCAATCTTCTCCAGAAATGTCGTTTACAGTCCTAAATGACAAAATCACCCACCTCTGCCGCGTCCTGACAAGGTCCAGCTTCTAAAAATCGGGCTATTAGGAAGTACAGTTCTGCGAGATGGGGGAGAATGAGCTACATTAGCTTTCAAGAAGGACGTGGTGGGAGAGGCAGATGTATATAAAAATATTCAAACGTCACCTTTCTGAATCCCTTTTACTCACCGGATTTCAACTGCGCGATGTGTTTACGCTCAGCAGCCATGTTTAGGGTTGTTTTGGGGGTGAAGGAGAAGGTGTGTGTGGCCGTTCTGGGAAGCGGGTAGCGCTAGGCTGCCCTATAGCTGTTAGTGTTTGTTCACCAGGAAGAGCTGCGCCTCCATTCACCCAACACACACAGAAAGTAGATCCGGCACGTCGCGCGAGGCTTCCGCGCTCTCGCAAAATAGTCCCCTCTCAGGCACAACGTGCCACGCGTCGATGCGGACAAACATCCCCAGCACCCGGGCGGCATTTGGGGTTGACAAGAAACGATGTTTCTCAAACATGCAGTTTAAGGTGTTCGTGAATATTTTGGGTTTCAGTTTACGCTCCTCACCCCTCCTCCCTCCAAAAAGCACAACTCCTTTGCGCAGGAATACACGAGTAGAGCCTAGTACGTACGCGCAGGACTGTGCTGTCAGGGAGGCTGCGATGCTATTGCTAACGCTGAAGGGGAAAAACAAGGCAATGGTGGCTCATTTTATGCAATAATTTAACTATTTATTCAGCAAACTTTTATTTGTCTGCTAAGTCCCAGACCCTGAGCTTTAATGGCGCCTCTTGTTTCTCGGTCTATCGACCTTGCAGGCAGCGAAGCTCGGATATCACACACCATGTTTCTCTCACAACAGCATATTGACGCTTACTATTAAACGCCTGAATACTACACCCGTAATCGTGTGGTTGTAAAGTGCATAAAACTCCACTTATTTTAATCCTAAACCAGACTCATTCCAAGGAACCCACCCCCTCTATCGGTTGTCATTTGGATTGGGAAGTCCTCCATTTCTTTTCCAAAAGCGAGCGGGCAGTAAAATGGGGGAAGGGTTGTAAACAGGGAGAATGTCATGAATTAAACCTTGTAAATTACAGGAATCCAGTGACTAATGGCGACACCAGACGAAAGAGGACGTAGGTGATCTTATTTATATATTTTATGTCACACAGTCTTAAAGAAACGACATACAGACTGTACAGCATATCTAGTTAAAGGTTGTGTAAAACAGGCTTTATAAATTGGACAAAGTATTTTAATACTTCTGTCCACAACACTGTATTAATTACATATAATTATTATTATTTTTTCTTTCTTATCTAAATGATAAGAAATCAAATGGAACCAGTTGAAGTTGTGCCTTATGTAGTCTCATCCTACAGCCCTAAATTAAGTAAACTTGTTTATGAGTCAGTCATGCAACATTAAAAAGGCCTGTTGAGTTTTAACCTTCTGCAACAATAGTGCTGGAAAATAGTAGTTGTGTAGTTTATGGTCTAACCCAGGGGTCTCCAAACTCGGTCCTGGAGGGCCGGTGACCTGCAGAGTTTAGCTCCAACCCTAATTAGACACACCTGAACCAGCTAATTAAGGTCTTAGGCATACTAGAAACTTCCAGCCAGATGTATTGAGGCAAGTTGGAGCTAAACTCTGCAGGACACCAGCCCTCCAGGACCGAGTTTGGAGACCCCTGATCTAACTAGTCTAAGTTCCCTAATTAGTTATCCATGTTAAATAAACACCACCAGCTGTTTTATAGTCAATGCTTGTTAAGTTCAAGAGGCTAAACCTACTTTTTGCTTTGACTGTATTTTGCAAGTAATGCAAATGAGAGTTAAACATGAGGCTTAATAACCCAGCAACCATTAAAGAATATAATAACAGTTTTATGGACTGAGAGATTTTTTCATTGTATGTATTTTAAATACATTTGTATGTGCATATAACGCACATTTACATAGTGTTACATTTGTGAATGTATGTACCAATATCATCCCCGAAAGTGAGTTAAATCTTACAAAACCTTTCTTAAAGGATATTCAGGATGTCCCTATTTGAAAACTAAAATAAATAACAAATACAAAAAAAATGTAGGGTAAGTTAGCTTTAGCAATTAGCTAAGTAAACGTATTTATGTATGGCTGCACACATTGACATTACCATTATAATCACAAATTCAGATAGATGTACTCTTGTTTTAAGGCATTAGACAAAGGAAGTGTTTGAGGTTCTCTGAGCTAAAAAGGTGACTTTGATACAATCTGTGTCTTTTTGTTTCCCCTTGCTTGTAGAATCCTCAGTTCAACAGTTAGTTTTAACTGCATTTGGTGATGTAACACTTGCTAAACTACTGACACAAAGTATATGTGGAGGAGAAAAGCAGTCAGATACTTAAGAACTAGATGAATATAGCAGCTTTGGCTTCGAGGCTACTTAAGCAAAACTGATGCAACTTATCACATGTTTGAGTAACGGTGGTGAT